GAACCAGATGCCGTGAATAACGGCCCCTGAATGTGTTTGCCAATAAAAGGATAAGTTTAAGGCTTTTAATCAATGCTGCTTGCACTCAGTATTTAAGGTCAGAATCTTGTGTGAGACTTATTTTGATAAGGATAATTGTTGGGTTAAAAAATGAATGGTTTTTGAAATTGTGACACTCGTGGGTGAATTAATCTTTGAGAGGATGGAAAATTGTCGATTTAATAAGAGTTCTCTTGCTCTCTAGTTGTCTTTCAGGTCACTTTTGGAAAAATATGACTTTTAGGAGGAAGGAATTCTTTTTCAATGGTGAAGGAGATAAGAGACTAATAGAAATTTCTAAGGAGTCAGTGATAGAGGCTCAGAGGGGAAATTGGAAATGAAACTGGGTATTTTGGAACTGTGGGGAGCTGAGGGGCTGGAACTGCAGCTGTGTATGTTTTAGGTAATATTAACTTGTAATTTTATGTCTCCAGCATACCTTTCTCAAAGGAATTCATGTTTCCGGACCAACAACTGTCTACTGTCTAAAGTATAGAGTTTAGAAACATCTAGGGTTTAGATACTGGCTTTACTGAATGGCCTTGGGCAAGTCCCTTAACCTCTGCACCCTCAGTTTTTATAATTACAAAATGGGGATGGTAATAGCTACCTCATAGTTGGAAAATGTAAATGTGATCACATATGTGAGAATGTAAAGTGCAGTGCCTGGCACACAAGAGGTGCTGAAAGGGGCATCTCCTTTTACTTTTTTGTGGAGTTTACTTGGCTGGTCTGTCATACATTTGTTTGTTGTGCAAGTGGATACATGTAATGTGGAAATTTCCCTACCTTGTAACAGTGAGTTGGAAATTTTTCCTGTTGACTTGTTTTGTTTTTTTCTTTTGTGCTTATGGAAAGGCGTGAGAGAAATGAGTCAGGAATCCCTCCATTTCTGGAGTGGCTCAGTGGTAATTCTGTGTCTGAGTGGCTCACAAGCCTGCGCAGTCCAGAGAATATGATAACTGGTAGATCTTGTAGAACAAGGCTCTGCTCCTTTGACTATGGGGAAGTTCCTTAGTCTTCCTAAAGTTCTCTGTCCGTGAAAGGAGGATGTGTGAGGGTACAATATGGGTAATGTTTGTGAACAACCTTTGTTAGTGTCAGGGAACTCCACAACTATGTGGTGTGGTATTTTCATTATCTTGAGTTGACAACAGTACTTATCCAAAAGTGAGTTCTGGTATTTTGTCAAATGTTAAAGGCTCAAGTAATAACTTTCAACTCAAGGAAGATTTGTATCTACTCTGGAACTGGAGTAGATTATATTAAGAATGTAAGATAGGCCGGGCGTGGTGGCTCAAGCCTGTAATCCCAGCACTTTGGGAGGCCGAGGCGGGTGGATCACGAGGTCAACAGATCGAGACCATCCTGGTCAACATGGTGAAACGCCGTCTCTACTAAAAATTACAAAAAATTAGCTGGGCATGGTGGCGCGTGCCTGTAATCCCAGCTACTCAGGAGGCTGAGGCAGGAGAATTGCCTGAACCCAGGAGGCGGAGGTTGCGGTGAGCCGAGATCGCGCCATTGCACTCCAGCCTGGGTAACAAGAGCGAAACTTCGTCTCAAAAAAAAAAAAGAATGTAAGATAGCTGGGCTTCCAAGATTTCTGGGAGAGCTGGCAATGTGTCCCTGAGGCTCAGATTCTTAGACCAGCAGGCCACAGGCTCAGGTTCTTAGAGTGGCAGGCCACACATGGGGGCTTGTGATTAAGCTGGTGCTGAGCATTGCTGAATTATAGGTCTTTGTGTGCCACGGGTTGGTTTTCTGCTGTTCACATGTACTCTTAATAGTGGCCTGTTTTCCTTTGCCTCAACTGTGACATCCCCTTGAAATGACCTTTATGGAGGCAGAGCTTGGATCTGCCTTGCTTCTTGCTGCCTACTGTGCTATTTTGTGCAGAGTGCTACACTTGCTCTCCTTTTCCTCCTCTGGTGTCTTAACAGGTGATTCAGCTGGAAGAGGAGGTTGCAGAAGGTCAGGCTACCAAGCACCTCTCTTCATGCCTCAGCCAATCCATACCCCAACACTGTGTGGGAAGAGGTACTCATCTGTTGAGAAGGTGTGGGGACAATATATGGTACACACAGAGGCTCCAGGGTGGTTACAATGAGTATAGCGTGTAGAGGGAGAAGGAGCAAAGGACGGTTTGGGAGGTAGGAAGTAAAGTTTCAGCTAGAGCTGACAGTGAAAGGCCTTTTTTGTCTTTAGACTTTTACTGTGTAGGATAATATAAGGGTTTGTTGTATATGAGACTTTTGACTTTAACTCTGTTGCAATAGGGATTTGTTGGAGGATGTTAAGTAGTGAGGATGGTATGAAAGATGCATTTTCGCCGGGTGCGGTGGCTCACACCTGTAATCCCAGCACTTTGGGAGAGGCTGAGGCGGGTAGATCACGAGGTCAAGAGATCAAGACCATCCTGGTCAACATGGTGAAACCCCGTCTCTACTGAAACACAAAAAATTAGCTGGGCATGGTGGCCTGTGCCTTTAATCCCAGCTACTCGGGAGGCTGAGGCAGGAGAACTGCCTGAACCCAGGAGGTGGAGATTGCGGTGAGCCGAGATCGCGCCATTGCACTCCAGCCTGGGTTACAGGAGCGAAACTCTGTCTCAAAAAAAAAAAAAAAAAGAAAGATGTGGCCGGGCGCGGTGGCTCACGCCTGTAATCCCAGCACTTTGGGAGGCCGAGGCGGGTGGATCACGAGGTCAACAGATCGAGACCATCTTGGTCAACATGGTGAAACCCCGTCTCTACTAAAATTACAAAAAATTAGCTGGGCACGGTGGTGCGTGCCTGTAATCCCAGCTGCTCGGGAGGCTTAGGCAGGAGAATTGCCTGAACCCAGGAGGCGGAGATTGCGGTGAGCCGAGATCGCGCCATTGCACTCCAGCCTGGGTAACGAGAGCGAAACTCCGTCTCAAAAAAAAAAAAAAAGAAAGATGCATTTTCAGGGTTTTCATTTGCTCATGGCATGGTGGAAGATGAAGGGTGGATGGTGAGGAGAGTGGAAATAGGAACATAGAAGACTGCTGCAGTATTTCAGATGGGGATTGCTTGGGGCCTATTTAGGTCATCTCCAGTGCAGGTGCCCAGGGGAAGTTGCAATAGATACTGTACATGCAAAGGAAAATGACATTTGAGTGCCTGTTTTGTGCCAGGAACTTTAAGTACTCTACAGACATTAGATCTTCTCATTCTCACAACAGCAACAAGGGGAAGGTGTTATTTCTCACCATTTTCCAAATAAAGAAACTTAGGTTTAGAGCATAAGTAGTTTGAGATCCCTGGACAGCTTGTAAGTTGCAGGGTTGGGGTTTAAACCTGATTACATCCAAATCCAAGTCCTTTCTGTTCGTATTACACCACACTGTGGCCCTCAGGACACAGCCTTATGTAGTGGTTTTGCATTAGCAAATAACTTTGCAAGGACTAGTCTATTAATAGTGATCTCTTTCAACATTCCCATGAGATGAGGGAGCACAATTAATTGTTCAGCTGAGGGATTAGAGATATAAGAAGGTTAAGTGACTTGACGAGGTCGCCCATCAAGTGGTTTGGGGAGGACAGGCAGAGGTGAGTGAGGTTTGGAGCTGGCCATTTTGAGCCAGTAGTCTTATTGAGAACAAGAATTTTCCAGCTTCATTTTATAAATCCAGTCTTTCTTCTAATTCTATAGATTAGGGAAACTGTCATGGAAATGGTATGCAAGGCAAGTGCCTGAGGCTGAGATGGCACAAAGCACCGTGGTATCTTGGGGTTACTTTATAATCAAACTCTCTCTTCTAGCATACTCCTTAATTAAAACAACAATCATCTCCACCAAAAACTAATCATCTTTATTAAGCATGCAGATTGGAGTAAGGGTGGGGAGACTTGTGTCTGAGAAAGATCTCGCCAATAAATTGTTTCCTTTGCCATAAGAATTGTGTTGCTGAGCTTAATAATTAGAAGAATTCTCACTCTACCCTGCTTCCTTTTTCTGTTTGATTTTATGGGTCTGACATTGTTGTTGTTCCTGGGAATACTTGAGGTGCCACAAAGAGCAGCATTATGATGAGAGCCATGGGAAACCCTTGCTAATTATGGTATATTGTGCCCTATTCCTTGTCTGTCAGTCTCTGTTGGTTATTATTACTCATTTAATTTTTATTTTTGAGAGATGAATGCACAGGGCAGAATAGGTCTTGAGAATGTCTTTGACTTGGATGGACACTTTGGGCATGCAGGGGTCAAGAGACTGGGTATCTTGTGGTAGAAGTTGGAGGAACAGTTAATACATTTTGAGAAGGGGGAGTGAAGGCCAGGGACTGAAAAGATGCTGAACTACAAACCTGAATGATTTTATAGTTTGTTAATGTTATCCCTGGATGCCATGCCCCCTCATGATTTAACCCTGCCTTGCAAACAGGGATGATAGTTTTGCAAATGATTTAACTCCCTGCCATCTACTGCTTTCTCCCTGGAGGTCACGGGGCAAAGACAAGCAACACTGGCATTGTGCATGTGTGAAGGGTAACTATAGGTAATAAAGTGGCCACCCGAACCGTTGCAATCCTATGTAATATTCTAGTGAAGTGATCTGGTTTCTGCAGTCAGGATGCCAAATATGGGGGAGAAGGAAGTGATAGTCATTTACAGTGTCATGTTTAGTCTTTTGCAGATGTGCTTACAGTTTTAACAAAGGCAGAGAAGAAATTATAGGGTGGGAAAGAAATGCCTACAGACAGCCTGCTAAAGCCTAAGAAGGAGGAAACTAGTATTTGTGTGTTTTAGAAATGCTAAGCCCTTGCTTACATATCAGCAAGCAAAATATTGGCATTCACTTCTGACTTGAGGAAGGCATATCTGAAGTCAATAGAAGGAAATGCCTAAACATAGTCCTCACTCAGAAAGAAAGGAGAACTGTGGAAATGCTCAGGATTATCTCATAAAAGCCCTTTGTGTATTTGAAGCCTCTAATGAAATCAGCCTTGTTCTCCAGGCCAGACAACTTCAGTTGTTCTTACCTTTCTTAATTGTATCTTTTTTTTTTTTCATTTCTTTTATGCTTTTGTCATCTTTTAAAAATTCTTTTATTTGAATAATACCAATAAGAATGGAATTTCATGTCTGAATGCAGGCATGACTTGCTTGCTAGTAACTACCAGTTTTTATCAGGAAGCAGAGTGGGATGCTCAGTGATTTTGTTGATGGTGAAGATGTCCAAATCTTTTTATATGTCTAGCTCCATTATCTGCTGCATTTACCAGTGTGTAGCGTTGGTGCGTGGAACCTAGTGGGCATATAAACATTTATTGAATGAGTGAACATACATGTACTGAAGTTTTTACAGTTTTTACTTTAAAATTCAATATTTGCTCTGGGTCAGTAAAGAGAAACCCTTTGTTTTGTTTTTTTCTTCATAAACACCAAAATCCTAGGAAACATTGGGTTTAACTTGCCACAGCACTCTGCAGCTTGTACAGACTTTTCCAGAGAAGAAAATTCTTTCTCAGTTCTGTATTAGTAGTCCCTTGCTTTCTCATCTGATTCTTCTTTCCTTTCTTCTCTTTTATCCCTTTCTCTCACCCATTCATGTATTGAATTCAGTAAATGCTTCTTCAACCTCTGCTGTAAACAAGGCACTATTTTAAGTGCTAGGGATATTATTATAAGCAAAATATTGTCTCTGGTTTCATGAAGCTTATATTTTGGTGGTGGATCAGGGGACATGATTGACCAGAAGAAGTTAGATTTCCCTGTTGGGACAAGGGTTTCAGAGAAGTTAAATTGGTGGTTATGTAGGTAGTAGAGATAATGATTGCTCCCTGTGAAGGACTTGCAGTGAAGGACTTGAAATAAAGTGATTTCACTTTATTTTCTATTTATATAACCATCTGAATCCCAATACAGTGTTTTGCCTGATATGTAAGATTCCTTTCAGGCAGGGTTTTGTCAGTTATCATTTATATCTCCTTTTTTGTAATTAGATTAGATCCCTTTGATTTATTCAAAGAGAAAAATGGGCAATATGCAATGTGTTTCTGCCCAATATCTATTTTGCTATGATGTTGATGCAGTAATATATACTTTCTTCTTCTTATAGTGTGTTTTAAACATTCCATTATTAAGAAATTGGTGCCCCCTTCTTGTTACTACTCTTTGCCTCCAGTTATTTAGCAAGCAGTTTAATTAATGTTCTTTTACCGCCCGCCTTTAGTATGAGTTTCAACAATTTTAACACAAAGTACACATATCAATTGTATGAATTTACTGAAACCCAAGCAAGCCTGTGATACTCATTCATTCATTCATTCATTGCTTCATCTAGCAAATGTCCAAAACAAAAAAGACATTTGCTTCCTCTCTACACATTTCAGTCTATTATGAACTGTTTTGTTGAAATCCAGAAACATAACATGCAATTCTCTGGGGTAAACATTTCACTAAATAAACAGTCGTGAGAATTCTGAAAATACCCGTAACTGGGTTAGCCTCGTCTTATCAGAGAAGTTTTCACAGAGTAGGCAATCTTTGACCTGGTTCTTGAAGAACAAGGATGTGTTTGCCTCCCAGAGACCTGTTGAGAAATAGCCAGAATTAATTAGTTTTGCTGCAGTCATTGAGGTGCTGGTCCTAGAGTGTGGCTTCCACTGCAGTGCTGGACATGGGGAAGATGATCTCATTGCAAATATAGCCTGGGTGGGTGTTTGGGTTTTATTTTAAAGATTCTGAAGCAGCATTTAAACAAGGTTGACATCAGGACCTTTTTAGTTGGTTACTGCTGTTGTTCACAATTGATTTAGATTGATAGGGCTTTAGTGTTCTTACTGTTGCATTCCAGTATTTTGAATCAGTCACTTTATTACATCATTTACTTTCTGGCTTAGGCTTAGTTGTTAAGTGAATCAGGGGTAAACCAACCGTGGGTTACTCTCCTGCTTCCTTTTTCAGGTAGTCTGGAGTAAACAAAACAACTAAATCTCTGTTGTCACCGTGTTTTGTTCCCATCTCAGAACCTGTAGAATGGCCAACATTTCTAGTAGTGTATTGGGGTAGCCAAGAACAAAACGTTTTTTAAAAAAGAGTTTAGAAAAGCTCATTAACACATTTGTTACTTGCTGAAAGCCCCAGTGAATTTTCCAGCATCCGTATTGTCCTTAAAATTTGCCCTTTAGTTCTTAAGGTTGTGGAGGTGGGGTTTTTTTTTTTTTTCCTTCCCCCTTTAATCCTCTTCTGAACTCTTTGGAGAGACACCTGGTGAGAGAGTAGGCTCTTCTGCTTTGTGTGCCCTCTAGTAAGAGATAATCAGCAGCAGCTTTGTATCCTAACGTTGAAAATGTGTTGTGCTAGATCATTTCAACCCAACAACTCACCCTCTTCATGTCTAATGCTTGGAGCTAAGCCCTTATTTCTGACTACATTAGCCAAAAAGAAAAGAAAAAGGTGGGCCAGGATAATAACAATTATCACAGTAAGAACACTTATTGTGTTTGGAATAAGCAAGTGTTTGCCTATTTAATACGCATGACAATCCTACTAGGTGTAGATACTGTTGTTTTCTCCTTTTGGTGGATAAGAAAACTGAGTCACAGAGATTCAGTAATTTGCCTAAGGTCAGACAGCTGTCTGCCCGGGGAACCTATATACTTAATTGCTGTGCTATACTATGGTTATCTCTTATCCAAATTGCTTGGGACCAGAAGTGGTTCAGATTTTTTATTTTTATTTTTTCAGATTTTGAAACATTTACATAAACATAATGGGATATCTTGGGGATGGGACTCAAGTCTAAACATTAAATCCATTTATGCCTCATGCACAGAGCCAGAAGGTAATTTTATAGAATACTTTTAATGATTTTGTGCATGAAACAAAGTTTTGACTGCAACTGCTTCTGTGAGTTCAGGTGTAGAATTTTTCATTTGTGGCATCATAAAAGTTTCAGATTTTGGAGCATTTTAGATTTCAGATTTTCGGATTAGGGTTATACAACCTGTACTTCATGAGACAATTGAGAAACATGCCTTTCTAGGGCCTCAAACAACTGGACGTTATCCTTGACTATTCCATGTTGTGCATTGGAGAGTTAGATCTCCTCGGTGCCTGTGAACAAGTGTTCTTTTGAGTGATGGTCTTTTTGTGATGCTAGTATATAATATAGCTTTCAAAGTCCTCACTTTATTTACTCTTATTCTAGCCCCACCCCATGTAAAGGACTCATTTTAAAGATGGGCAAACCTGGAAGCTGAACCTGACTTCTTACTCTTCATGCCTTCAACTTATGGTCTTAAAGGATTCAGTTTTGCCATTCTGTCCTCAAGAAGATCCCATACAAATAGAGGCTTTAATTTCTGGTTGCATTCTTGCATTTTGTGTTTTTTCTTGCCTAACAAATGAAAGAAGAAAGTTTATCTTAATAGTAAACTGAAATGAAAAACCACTTTTTTTCATGAACTTGCTAATTTTCTTTCATTGTATAGTATGAACTCAAGCAACAAAGACCTGGTCAAAAAACAAACAAGCAAAAAGCATCATTTTCTGTAAGATACTCGGTTGCGCTAACACCAAAAGTTACAGAGTTTAATTGGAGATAATTTAAAAAAAAATTTTTTTGGAATAGAGATCGGGTTTTCCATGTTGACCAGCCTGATCTTGAATTCTTGGTCTCAAGCGATCTTCCCATCTTGGCCTCCCAAAGTGCTAGGATTGCAAGCGTGAGCCACCATATGTAGCCTCTTATTTTAGATGATTTTTTAAAATGAAGATTTGCTTTATAATAAGAAAAGGGAAACCATAATTACAGACCACAGAGAAGGGCTTCTTTAATATATTTAACCTGTTTATTTACAGATCACTTCTTTCTAGAGAGACTGAATTGAGGGCAGAGAAACCTAAATCCTACATATAAAGAGCTGCTGCCCATTCAAAATAATTACAAATGACAGTAAACCATTTCCCCACATAATCCTGTATATCAGTAGGAAAATAGGTTTTGAGATTCAAAAAACTCAATTTCAAATCTCTAGTTGTAATTATTTGACTTAATATATAAGGCACTTACCAGAGGAGATGGTTGCAAATAGATTTGATGACAGGTAAATTTTTCTTATGGTCTGCTAACTTCTTATTCAGTCTTGGCCAACCACTGATACAATGCTGAGAGTTGCTTTCTCCTTTCCCCTCTACTAGCTTGGGATCTGCAGACCAAAAAAAAAAATCTATAACTTGCAAGGCTAATAAATGCGTGCTTCAGCTGCCTGGAAATGCTGCTGGACTGGCGATATGCTGCCCTGGTCTAATAGAGACTGCCTCAGATCTGGTCTTTAACCTGGATTAGCTGGCTAAAGGGAATCCTCTGGGATTCTGTGTGCGATCACCTGGTGATGTGTTGTTGTATAAATGTAACATCCACTAACTTTGTCAGATGCTGTCTGGCCTGGCTGCTATGACTGTGATTGGAATGGAAACATACAGCTTGTTATTAAGGTAGTGACTAACCAGTGGGGGACACTGATGTCTGTTGATTTTCATTGTTTATTGATCTAGTGAGTTAGAATGCCTTTCCTGGGGTGTTACTGTTAAATAGTTCAGTCCTGTTAGCCATTTTGTGAGATTGTCTTTCTGTGTGATTTGTGTGTATTTCCTTGATCTAGCAGGGTGCAGGGTCAGAAAATGTGATGGGACATGGATTTGAAATAAAATAGGGGGTTAAGGAATATCATGCTCCTCTGAATATTAAGGAAAATCTTTAAGCACCGAATTAACTTCAGAAAATCCCCTTGCTCTCACGGTTTGGAATTTGGCTGGGTAAGCTAATAACGGGAATGAGAGCTAGGAGTTGTAGGTTAAATTTTTCCCTGGCAAATACGAGTATTTCAGGATTACCTCTACTCTTATCTTGCTACCTCCCACAGGATCTTTACAAACTCTGTGCAGTAGAGATTATCTTCATAAAGATTTCAGATGCATTTTATGAAATGATGAATGTTGTTTTTTTATTCATTTAGTACATTTATTGAGTACCTACGATATGCCAGCCCCTGGTCCTGGTCCTGGGGTTTTAGTGGTATACAAGAAGAACAAAATTCTTAGTCTTATGGAATTTATATTATAGTGGACTATAAGTTACAATTTTCACTATTTGAGAGGACCCAAGCTTCAGCTGCTGTTGCTGTTCGGCACACTGGCCCAGGTTGAGAGAAGAGACTGGGATTCAAGTTGCAGTTCCTGTCCTGATTTGCTGCATTTCTCAAGGCTTGAGTTTAACTACCTGTAAAATAATGACATTGGGCCATATCTAACTATTCATAGGGTTTTTTCCAATTCTTTCACGCATAGTTCTGATTTTCCTAAACAGTTTGGCCCAGTTGTCTTTTTTTCTTTTTCTTTTTTAACAGGGTATCACCCTATCACCCAGGCTGGAGTGCATTGACACTGTCTCGGTTCATTGCAACCTCAGCCTCCCTGGCTCGAGTGATCCTTCCACCTCAGCCTCCCAGGTAGCTGGGACCACAGGTGTGCACCACCACGCCTGGCTAATTTTTTGTGTTTTTGATAGAGATGGGCTTTTACTTTGTTGCCCAAGCTGCTCTCAAACCCCTGAGCTCAAGCGATCTGCCCACCTCGGCCTCCCAAAGTGCTGGGATTACAGGTGCTAGCCATTGTACCCAGTCAGCCCACTTGTCTTTGATCTAGTTGAGCTTCTGGCTAGTTCATCACGGTGACCAGTGTTTGCATATTAATTCAAACAATCAGTTTTTGTGCTGAGGAAGAAAATAATTGTTTCTAAAAAGTTTATATTTCTACTACATGGTCATGTCATTTAAAAAGAAATGTAAAGCAACAGCAAAGAAATACTCTCTTACTCAGGAATTACATACCTACATGAAGTCTTTGAGTTTTCCTTGTGTCATATGAGCTGGTTGATTGCAGGTAAGGAGAATTGCATGTTCTTACATGCTCCTCAGAAACACCCATCACTGTGTAAGAAATGCTTTTTTGTTTGTGTGAAATCATAATATAGAGCCCATTCCACCATACACCTTCATCATCTAGCTTGGGGATACAAGCCTGTTAATCAAGTGGGAATATAGGAAGTGAGACATGAAACACAGGTTTTATTTTCACACCTCTAAATGAGTGACTGCGGAGGATGAACTTAAAAATAATAATGTCACCTCATATTTGCATCACACCTTTTAATAAGGTGGTTTAAAAATATTTAGGGTGAGCCTTCATCATGATGCTTTAATTGCCTCAGCACAGTTGAATAGTACATTAGGGTGATGCCTCTGCTGTGCTGAAAAGCCTGGAGGAAGATGCTTGGGGATCTGGGAGATACTGTCACTCAGCGATATGTTGAGGATGACTGGTTAGAATCCCTTCAGATCTTGGGATCTCAGTTTCCTCTCAAATGCATGTTGTGGGTAGAGAAGCCTGGGCTGATGTGTATATAATTACATCTGTTATAAGTGACTGAACTTGTAAGAACAGACACACAAGGCATCGTTAGTAAGAAGTAATAATATCTACTGTAGTAATACTATCTTCTCATCTTTATAGGTCCATTTGAAATGCCTCCATCTCAGTAGATCTTTCCTGACTACTTCCACCTGGCCATCATATCATCTCTTCCATTAGATTTCAGGCAGACTGGGCAGGGACAGAGGGTTTTTATCCAGTCAGTCACTTAGAGGCTATTTGATCTTGGGAAGATAACCTGATTTTCTAGTGCAAAGTATCTTTATTTTCGCATCTGTAAAGTGAAGAAAAGAATCCCTACTTCAGGCAGAGCGCGGTGGCTCATGCCTGTAATCCCTGTAATCCCAGCACTTTGGGAGGCTGAGGTGGGCGGATCACGAAGTCAAGAGATTGAGACCATGGCCAACATGGTGAAACATGGTCTCTACTAAAAATACAAAAATTAGCTGAGTATGGTAGTGCGCACCTGTAGTCCCAACTACTCCGGAGGCTGAGGCAACAGAATCACCTGAACCCGGGAGGTGGAGGTTGCAGTGAGCCAAGATTGTGCCACTCCACTCCAGCCTGGTGACAGATTGAGACTCAAAAAAAAAAAAAAAAAAAAATCCCTGGTTCTTAGGGTCTTAGTGATACAAGTTAGTATACGCGGTGCCCTTAGAACAGTGTTTGGCATGTGCTGCTGTGGTTTTGTCATCATTATTTTTCCACTTCTTGGTACGTAGCTCATGTTCTCCTTAGCTATACAGATGTATTTAGCTATCTGCCTTAAATTGTGATGGGTTCCTTCTGATCTAAGAGCCCTTTTCACACCTAACAGGATACCTTTGGCTTGGTAGGTACCTAGTGAGGATCTTGGATTGAGTTCCTACAGGATTTTGTTAAGAATACAAAGTGGGGTGTATTCACATTCTGACTTTTAAAGCCTTTGAGGTCAGTTGGGGGCAAGTCTCATTTGTTTCTTAACTGGTAAAGCTGCCACACCAAGGCCACTTGCCCATGGTAGTCCACTGGGTAGCCTGATAAGAAGGTCAGTTACTCAAGGTTGTGGACTCCATTCCATTGTTGCTGATATTAATAGCATAAATGAGATGGCTTTTGATAATTCTCTGAGCAAATTTGGCCAGGTGAATACTGGACAGTAATTTCCTGAAGTGCCATCAAGTGTCAGGAACATGATTTATGTAACATGGGCTCCTGCTAGCTGGGATGAACATTGGAGCCCCTGCTGTGCTCTGGAATTATGAATGCCTGCCAGAGGAGCTGCTTTTGTTCTAGAGAGTTTTTTTTTTTCTTTTAAGTTATACTCTCAGGTGGTGGGTGGGGGCAGGGGGTTCCTATGATGATGAATGGCGAGATACAGGGCTGAACTGGCTGGTTGCAAACCTTAACCCAGCAGTTTTTAGAGACAACTGGGATAAGGACATTTGAGCTGGCTGACACCTGGGTTGAAAGTACTGTTGTAAAAAAAAGTGATGTGTGTTTGGGGAGTGGCTTATAAAAAGAAGTGGTACCTTGGCATTCTAGCCAGGTAAAGGGAGATCTGCGCTTTTTAAGGTAGGAGCTTTGAAGAAAATGCAAAACTTGTATATTTCAGCATGCAGAAAATTGCACTTATCAGGCACACCTCATTCATATTAGCAAGAGTGTTGCTAGCATGAGAAGTGCATGAGAAGTACATTGTTGTGGAATGCTGTTATGAGGAAGCTGCTAAGCTCTTGGCTTTGGGGTATCGATGAAAGTTATCCCCTTGCATGTAAGCTTGCTGAGTAAAGAAAAAGTTTTGGCTCTAAGGCCTATGGAATCAGGCTCTGGATGGATGATGGATTTTTTCGTCCTTCACAGCCAAAACAAACAAGTCTTTCTCCCTTTATTTCCAGGCTACCTATGTGAATACATTGATAATATCTCTGAGAGCTTTAAGGAATTTTCCAGCAGAATGAGAGAAGACAGAAGAACTGTCTTGATAATTTAAGGATACACTCTTATCTCTTGATCTGCTGCATTTTGTTTTGGCTTCTGCTTAGGACAATGTTGGTAGTTATGTTGTCTTCTCTCCACTGGGCCTCACTCCCAGCACTCCCTGCTAGCCCCCACTGAGTTTCTCATTAGTCTGTATGTGGAAAACACTTTAATTGGGCTTCAGAAAGTTTTGGATTACATGTATACAATCAAAAATTGTCAACATTATTATTCAGCTTCTCCTTTGGTACATAGATCATGTTATCTTTAACCGTACTGATGCATTTAGCTATCTGCCTTAAATTGTGATGGGTTCCTTCTTGTTGAGAGCCTTTGTCACACCTAACATGATACATTGGACATGGTAGGTATCTTAGTGACCATGTTGGATTGAGTTGCTCCAGGATTTTATTAAGAATTCAAAGTGGGCGTATTCTCATTCTCAGACTTTTAAAGTCTTTGAGATTGGATGGGGGTAGGTCTCTTTTGTTTTGGATTACATGTATGCAATCCAAAAGAGTTAGATTTTTTTAAAAAAAAATAGTAATGATCTCCACCCCTTTTGTTAAAGAGACAGGAGCTCACTGTGTTGCCCAGGTTGGTTTCAAACTCCTGGCCTCAAGCAGTCCTCTTGCCTTGACCACCCAGTGTTGGGATCACAGGCATGAACCACTGTGTTCAGTATGTTCTAATTTTTATTTAAAATTAGAAATTTGTGGCATAGTCCAGGCATGGTGGCTTATGCCTGTAATCCTAGCACATTGGGAATCCAAGGCAGGAGGATTGCTTGACCTCAGGAGTTTGAGACCAGCCTGGGCAACATGGGAAAACCCCATGTTTACCAAAAATACCAAAAACCCCCACCGGAGCTGGGCATGGTGGCACGTGCCTGTAGTCCCAGTTA